TGAGAACATGTGGCTCAGATGGTAAAGCAAGCCCCCGCAATGCAGGGGAGCTGGGTTCAATCCCTGGGTCAGGGAAATTCCCTGGAGAAGGGAATGGCAACCCACTCCAGTATTCCTGCCTGGGAAAGCCCATGAGCAGAGGAGCCTGGTGGGCTATAATCCATAGGGTAGCAGCTAACACACGTGCACATCATCTCTTGCAGCAACAATGCTGAGAGACTGTAGCTGTCTGTGCATGTGTAGGTAAGCGTTTCATCAGAGTGAACATCGACATATTAGGAATCAGCCAACTAAAATGGACTAAAATAGGTGAATTTAACTCAGATGATCATTATATCTATTACTGTGGGCAAGAATCCCTTAGAAGAAATGGAGTAGCCATCATAGTCAACAAGAGTCTGAAATGCAGTACTTGGATGCAATCTCAAAAATGAGAGAATGACCTCTGTTCATTTCCAAGGCAAACCATTCAGTATCACAGTAATCCAAGTCTATGCCCCGACCAGTAATGCTGAAGAAGCTGAATTGTTCTATGAAGACCCACAAGACCTTATAGAACTAACACCTGAAAAAGATGTCCTTTTCATTATAGGGGACTGGAATGCAAAAGTAGGAAGTCAAGAAACACCTGGAGTAACAGGGAAATTTGGCCTTGGAGTGCAGAATGAAGCAGGTCAAAGGCTAATAGAGTTTTGCCAAGAGAATGCACTGGTCATAGCAAACACCCTCTTCCAACAACACAGGAGAAGACTCTACACATGGACATCACCAGATGGTCAATACATAAATCAGATTGATTACATTCTTTGCAGCCAAACATGGAGACGCTCTATACAGTCAGGAAAATCAAGACCTGGAGCTGACTGTGGCTCAGACCATGAACTCCTTATTGCCAAATTCAGACTTAAATTGAAGAAAGTAGGGAAAACCAGTAGACTATTCAGGTATGACCTAAACCAAATCCCTTATGATTATACAGTGGAAGTGAGAAAAATATTCAAGGGATTAGATGTGATAGACAGAGTGCCTGAAGAGCTATGGATGGAGGTTTGTGACATTGTACAGGAGACAGTGATCAAGACCATCCCCAAGCAAAAGAAATGCGAAAATGCAAGATGGTTGTCTAAGGAGGCCCTACAAATAGTTATGGAAAGAACAGAAGTGAAAGGCAAAGGAGAATAGGAAAGATATACCCATTTGAATGCAGAGTTCCAAAGAATAGAAAAGAGAGATAAGAAAGCCTTTCTCAGTGATCATTGCAAAGACATAGAGAAAAGCAGTAGGAAAGACTAGAGATCTCTTCAAGAAAATTAGAGATACCAAGGGAACATTTCATGCAAAGATGGGCACAATAAAGGGCAGAAATGATATGGACCTAACAGAAGCAGAAGATACTAAGAAGAGGTGGCAAGAATACACAGAAGAACTATACAAAAAAGATTTTCATGACCCAGATAATCACGATGGTGTGATCACTCACCTAGAGTCAGTCATTCTGGAATGCAAAGTCAAGTGGGCCTTAGGAAGCATCACTAGGAACAAAGCTAGTGGATGTGATGGAATTCTAGCTGAGCTATTTCAAATCCTAAAAGACGATGCTATGAAAGTGCTGCACTCAATATGCCAGCAAATTTGGAAAACTCAGAAGTGGCCACAGGACTGGAAAAGGTCAGTGTTCATTCCAATCCCAAAGAAAGGCAATCCCAAAGAATGTTCAAACTACCACACAATTGCACTCATCTCACATGCTAGCAAAGTAACGCTTAAAATCCTCCAAACCAGGCTTCAACAGTATGTGAACCGTGAACTTCCAGATGTTCTAGCTGGATTTAGAAAAGGCAAAGGAACCAGAGATCAAATTGCCAACCTCTGTTGGATCATCAAAAAAGCAAGAGAGTTCCAGAAAAACATCTATTTCTGCTGTTTCGACTATGCCAAAGCATTTGGCTGTGTGGATCACAACGAACTGTGGAAAATTATGAAAGAGATGGAAACACCAGACCACCTGACCTTCCTCTTGAGACCTGTATGCAGGTCAGGAAGCAACAGTTAGAACTGGACATGGAACAGCAGACTGGTTCCAAATCAGAAAAGGAGTACGTCAAGGCTGTATATTGTCACCCTGCTCATTTACATTATATGCAGAGTATATCATGAGAAATGCTGGGCTGGATGAAGCATAAGCTGGAATCAAGATTGCCGGGAGAAATATCAATAACCTCAGATTTGCAGATGACACCACCCTTATGGCAGAAAGTGAAGAGTAACTTAAGAGCCTCTTGATGTAAGTGAAAGAGGAGAGTGAAAAAGTTGGCTTAAAGGTCAACGTTCAGAAAACTAAGATCATGGCATCCGGTCCCATCATTTCGTGGCAAATAGACAGGGAAACAGTGGAAGCAATGACAGACTTTATCTTTTTGGGCTCCAAAATCACTGCAGATGCTGACTGCAGCCATGAAATTAAAAGACGCTTACTCCTTGGAAGAAAAGTTATGACCAACCTGGACAGCATATTAAAGAGCAGAGACATTACTTTGCCAATACAGGTCCATCTAGTCAAAGCTATGGTTTTTCCAGTAGTCAGGTGTGGATGTGATAGTTGGACTATAAAGAAAGCTGACTGCTGAAGAATTGATGCTTTTGAATTGTGGTGCTGGAGAAGACTCTTGAGAATCCCTTAGACAGCAAGGAGATCCAACCAGTCCATCCTAAAGGAAATCACCCTGAATATTCACTGGAAGGACTGATGTTGAAGCCAAAACTCCAATAGTTTGGCCATCTGATGTGAAGAACTGACCCATCTGAAAAGACCCTGATTCTGGGAAAGATTGAAGGTGGGAGGAGAAGGGAATAACAGAGGATAAGATGGTTGTATGGCATCACCTACTCAGTGGACATGAGTTTGAGTAAACTCTGGGAGCTGGTGATAGATAGGGAGGCCTGGTGTGCTGAAGTCCATGGGTTGCAAAGAGTCGGACATGACTGAGCGACTGAACTGAACTGAACTAGTGGACTGCGTTATGACTGCATCAATATGCATCATGGCATATTGATACTGATTTACTCTAATATGTGTGGGGCAGGAAAATGATATTTTAATGGGTGAAATTGTCCTACCTCTTTGCTCCAGATCAGTGCAATCATTTTTCTTCTAGTTGTAATTCTCCCCAGAGCCATCCTGCTCCACTGCATAGATCTGTTCTCCTCTGTCTGAGGTCACACACCCTCAGGACTGGCATCCATACTACATTCTTACCATTTGTATCCTGATGTACTGGCTGCTGCAGACAGCCCTGGACTGGGAGTCAAAAGACCCCACAACCAAAGTCATTTCACCTTTTTGGGCCACAGTTGCATCCTCATACCCTGAAAAACAGGTTGGAGGTGAGTAGGTGGACCAGTGTGGACTCTGTGATGTCTCATAACTACCTAGTGTCCATAACTACCCTTGTGTGATTCTCCTTAGGATCCTAGTCACATTGGGTCAGATGTCTTGACCATAAACCTCTATAGCATCTCACGTGCAGTAGGTCCTCAGTATGTCCTGTTAGTTTCTGTTTAGGTAGCTAAGAGGAGTGCTGTGCTATGCTTAGTCCCTCAGTCATGCCTGACTCATTGCGACCCCATGGACTGTAGCCCACCATGCTCCTCTGTACATGGGATTCTCCAGGCCCTCCTCCAGGGGATCTTCCCCACCCAGGGATCGAACTTGAGTCTCTTGTGCCTCCTACATTGCAGGCAGATTCCTTATCCATTTGGGAAGCCCCAGATAAGAGATGATCCATTAAATGGATAAAATGGGATGATTTTAGAGCTGCTTTTTCAAATTCATCCTGACTGTGTTGCTTACTGATTTTGCAACCTTGGGAAGGAAACTTCACTTCAGAGAACTCCAGATTAGATGACAAATACCTCCCAGATTTGATGGGAATATCCTTGCTCAGAGGGAGGTGGGTGCTCATCATCTGTGAGTCCACAGCTCCTGCCTCTGACCCCATCTGGACACTTCTCACGCCACAAGGTTGAACTCACCCAGAGCCCCTCGAGGGCAGGCACCAGGGCTTACTTATCTCTGGTGTCTGTGTCCACCTGGGACAGCTGTTTGGCCTTAGTTGACCCACAGAGTGTTTGGCCTCTTTGCCTTTCTTCTTCCCTATGGTACTCTAGTGCTCCCTCCAAAACCCATTCTCTGACCAGGTTGAGAATTCCCACGTCTCTTTCACCCTCTTTATCTAAAATTGTAGACTCAGCAAGTCCATGTGTTCATTTCACTTGATGAAAGTAAAAAACAGGGAACAACAGAGGGGAGAGAGAACTTGCATGAGGCAAATGTCTGTGCTTGATTTAGACTCAGCTGGGTTAACACACCATCACCTGGATGAATTTTTTTTTAAATTGAGGTTTAAAAGAAGTTATTTCAAGATACCAAGACATTATTTCCACTGGAGGCAGCCAAGGTGTGAGTGAGTTTTCCAGGGCTCAGATGCTTTCGACCTTTAGTTCAAAGACCACGGTTGGGGTCACTCGTGGCCTTGTTTCCTCCAAAGTCAAATTCTCCACTCACCTTTCCTAAGACTTACTTCCCTGCCCTTTAATCATTTTTATTGCTTTTCCCTGGGCCATCTCTAGGTCTTGACATCTCTCTTAAGATGCAGAGGCCTCAAACTGGGTAAAGAATGCTAATGAGGAAGTAAGCAGTGTGGAATCCATTAGGAGGATTAGTTCCTGGACTTCCATATGCTGCTCATTCATCTCAACTTTGAAAGTCATGTCCAGGAGGCTCACTTGCCTCCAGACCTATGGTCCTCGATGACCCGCAGTGCTTTCACCGCTGCTCTGCTCCTGCGTCTTCTGAAGCTCAGCCCTCCTGGGTTTAAGGCTTTTGTTCCTGATCAGTCTGCCTTGTATTGTGTGCATCTGCTTTGGGTGAAGACTCTTTTTAAAAGATTTGCCTAGAATTTAACCTCACTTAATCTGCAAACTTCCCATTTCTTCATCAGACCCAGCAGGAAAAGTGCTCGCAGAAGCCCTGGGCCTGGTGTGGTGGCCTGAAGACAGCACACGCTGCTGGCAGCTCCTGGCTCTGAACAGGCCGTGCGGCTACTGGGCTGACCTGGACCCGCGCCAGGTGAGGTGCCTCACCCCACACATATCCTGAGATGCTGGGGCATGAATGATGCTTCCTCAGCTGAGGCAGTAAAACACAGCCATCTCCATGACCACATGGCTGGTCTGGAACTGGCTGCTGTGGATTTGTGAAAAATAAGTGGTAAAAGGTTGCCCTTGGTACTTTCTTATTCTAGCCTTGGATGGAAACTGAAAGCATGGTTTTAAATTGTAAATAAGGGAAGGCCTGTGTGTAAGGGTGAGGTGGGGGTGTTGCTTCATCTAATATTATACAGAGTTCTTTGGGATGAAAGCCAAAGATGCTGCTTAGGGAAAGCAGACACTGACTGAGGTGGGGGCCCTCCTGAATGGTTGGCTCAGGAGCTGGAGAACAGTCAGGTCAAGGATGAGCCTTGGCAAGTCAGGCTAATTGGAGGTAGAGACTGAGCTTGAGCCCAGGGCATGACGACTCAGTCCTAACCAACAGCTCTGGCCTCCTGCCACCTAAGGGCCTTACAGTCTTTTCATCTATGTTTTTAAAAAAGGACAGGATATGCTTTACCTGCATATCTCTCAAGATTGTTATGAGGATAAGACAAGACAGGGATCTTATAGGGCTGTGTCCATGCCAAAGAATTCTACACTAGGAAGCAAAGCTTATATTCCAGTTCACATTAAGTTTGGTGGCACAAAACCTCTAAATAAAAAAGGCTTGAATACAATGCAAATGTCTCCTTCTCATGTAAAAGCAGAGAGGTATGTGTTCCTGGACAGGTTAAGCTTCCCAGACTACTTCCAGTTTGACTACATGTGGCTTCATCCTCATTGCCCAAAGGCGGCTCCTAGGGCTCCAGCCATCACACCATGATTCTAGGTGGTAAGATGATGAGAGGGGAGAAAGGAGAGAGTGGGTCTTTCTCATGAAAAGACTTCTTGGGAGTTTCACAGAAAACCCGTTTTCATCTTGCTGATTAGGACTTAGGCATCTGTCACACCTAGTAGTGAGAGTGACAAGACAGGGGCATTTTGTCTGGACAGCATTGCGTCCAACTAGACATTGAGGTCCAGGGAGAAGAGGAGGATGGAGAAGCTAGTAGGGCCTACCACAGATTACATCTTCTTAATGTAAGTGAAAGCCTAATTGATGCCCTTCATCTGGGCCTTTCAGGCCCATTTCACCTCCATGGGCAGAGCATGTGACCCCCTCTGATGAGGCTTTCTCATCTCTGAAACAAGGGAACTCCCACACTCCAACATTCATAGAACACTTACATGGTGTGGCCACGCTCCTGTCTGGGCACGTATCCCTTCCCAACGCTGGTGTCTACAGAACACCCTCTGATTGTTCTCTTCCAGTGGACTTGTTTTGAGTTTCTATTTATTTTGGAAAGAAAACTTTGTACCATTCCCACAACTGGAAATCTATTTTTATTTGCCACAAAGAGAAAATAAGTATTTAAAAAAAAAAAAACAAAATAAAAGCAAGGAAGTATGACGGCTCCCAAGGCTCAGAACTGAGGCCTTGTCCCTACTGGTTGAAGAGAACAATCAATATGTGGTGGGGAGTGTTAGAGAAATTGTATCACCAAGCTGGAATTTTCTTCTTGCCCTAATGAGAAGGATTGAAAACTTCTCTGTGTGATTTAATTTCTCTTGATGTCACCTGAGATCATCTCACTTTCCCTAGTGATAAGGGCTCCATCCTTTAGGAGACATTCTATTCTATGATTCCTAAGTGTCTTTCTCTTGCACTGAGAGTTTTTAAAAGACAGGTACCCTCAAGCCAATGGATCCAAGTACTGCTTTGCAGCCTCAGGGATTTTCCAAGGGAACCCAGGTCTTTGGGGTTGACTGAAGGTTCAGAGACCTAGGCGATGCCTTGAAGTTATCCTAAGATGACATTTGAGGCTGTCAGAGGACAGATGGGGGCCTGAGCTCAGACCAGGGCAGCCAGGAGGCCAGGTCTGGAGGGGTTCATGCTAACTGTATGACCTTTCTGCATCAGACTTGTAGCCTAAAGGGCAGGAAGAGGGGACAATTTGAAGGATAGGGGGCTTCCTCTGAAGGCGGAAGACCCCAGTGGCTGCTATTGCTGCAGCAAAACACCATGCAGACCCTGGAATGCTGACCCAATCCCAGTGACTTCCTCTGTGTGGCCTCTGACAGAAGTCTCCAAATCTTGAAAAAACTGGAGCAAAGATGAGAAATGTGTAAAGGAAGCTGGCTCTGTTTTTCTCACAGCACGTTTCAAAGAGCCCCGGGAGCTGGGGAAGATCTTAATGGAGAGTCTATTTGGACACAGTTTTCTTAAATTTTATCTTCTGTGGCTTGTTCTTTTAACTTGTGCTTGGGAAGTGGCTTGATCTTTTATAGTTAAAGTAGCTGGTGTTCCCCATCAAATTTAGTAGATCAGAAGGGTCCCAAAGGCCTTGGACAGGCTGTCTACTGCTGGTTAAAACCCAAGTGACCAACAAACCCAGATGCAGATCCAGGACTCCTTTGAAATTGGGGCCTACTGTGATGGCTTAGCTGTCAGGGTCTAGGGGAAATCTCACTGGGGTTCCCCCTTTGTGTGTGGGGGGCTGTTGGAACACTGTGTTCCTGAGGGGGAGAGTGATAGGGCGATGGGGTGACAGTGGGAAGGATGGGGCGACAGGCATTGAGGTGTAGCTGAGGACACTGCCTTATGACACGTGAGAAATGACATCTGAATGAGGTGTGGCGGATCTCCGTGACTGGACAGGATTGGATTTGGAAGGATCCATGCGATCTTCACCATCCTGCAGAGGGGAAGGCAGAGAAGTGAGAGGAGAGGATGGTGGTATGGGGAATGGGGCGGAGGCCAGGAGCCTATCTCATCTAAAGAGGAATCAGTGCACTTCCCATGCAGAACACAGAGGTGGACCAGCACGGCATCAGCTCTGTGTCGCTCACAGGCCCCAGAGTTAGGGCCCATGTGTTTGGGAAAGGCTGGGTTAGACAAGGTCCCTTATATAGCCCTCTTCAGCCTTAATTTGCTCATGTGATTCCTGGATCTCTAAGGAATAGAGCATGCAACTTCAACCACAAAGTCTGATATTTTCTCCCCCTTGGGATAGCTAATAACCAGAGGCAACTGGGATAAAGCATTAGGTCACATCTGGAAAGACCCCATTTTACCACTCACTCATAGACACATCTGCTGAACACAACTCAGGATCAAGACTAGGGATGTAACAAAAGAAATAGTTATAACCTTTATCCTCAGAAGTTCCCATTAGACTGGGAGAAACTGACTTTTAAACATCTAAAACCAAGTGAATATGTGTAACTGCAGAACCATGTAAAATTCCAAGGACATTCAAGGGCAGTTCAGAGGAAGCAGGTCAGCTCTGCCTGCAGGGAGCGGCCTGAGATTCAGCAGAGGACCTCCCAGGAGTGGGCGTGGGGTTTACCTGAGAGGAAAGAAAGTGAAAGTGAAAGTTGTATCCGACTCTTTACCACCCCATGGACTCGTGGAATTCTTCAGGCCAGAACACTGGAGTGGGTAGCCTTTCCCTTCTCCAGGGGATCTTCCCAACCCAGGGATTGAACCCAGGTATCCCAGTAGAGCAGGCAGATTCTTTACCAGCTGAGCCTCAAGGGAAGTCCAAGAACACTGGAGTAGGTAGCCTATCCCTTCTCTCTTCCCAGCCCAGGAATCGAGCCTGGGTATCCTGCATTGCAGACAGATTCTTTACCAACTGAGCTATCAGGGAAGCCCAAGAGGAAAGAGGGTCTTGGCAAAAGAAAGGCAAGTGCTCAGCCACACACCCTGGAGGCTGTGTGAGAATTTCAGTGTAGCTAAAGCTCACAGCAAGATGGGGGTGGGGTTGGAGAAGATGCTGGACAGCTACACAGAATCAGCCTCCAGGTGGGCTGAGCGCCATCTGACAGGTGAGCTGTTCCCCATAGGGACCATACCAGCACTTTGAGATGGACAAAAGATATTCAAGGGAAGAAAACACCCTGGGGTCAAATGCACTTGAGGAAAGCATTAATTAACTAACTGCCCATCAACAGATGAATGGATAAAGACATGGTTTATATAGACAGCGAAATACTACTCAGACATAAAAAATGAAAAATTGCCATTTGCAGCAACATGGATGCAGTTGGAGGGTATTCTGCTAAATGAAATGTCAGACAGAGAAATAAAAATACTGTATGATCTAACTTATTTGTGGACTCTAAAAAATACAACAAGCTAGTGACTATAACAAAAAGAAGCAGACTCATGTATAGAGAACAAACCAGTGGTTACCAGTGGGGAGAGGGTAGGGGATTAAGAGGTAAAAACTATTATGTATAAAATAAGCTACAAGGATATATTGTACAACATGGGGAAAATAGCCAATATTTTATAATAATTATAAACAGAGAGTCCTGGTGGCTCAGACAGCAAAGAATAAGCTTGCAAAGTGGGAGACCCAGGTTCGATTCCTGGGTTGGGAAGATCTTCTGGAGAAGGGTGTGGCAACCCATTCCATTATTCTTGCCTGGAGAATTCCATGGACAGAAGAGCCTGATGGGCTATTATCCATGGGATTGCAAAAAGTTGGACATGACTGAGCGACTTACACTTTCACATAAATGGAGTATAATCATTAGAAATTATGAATCACTATATTGTTATAATCTGTCAGTTATATAATATCATATATCAACAAATCTTCAATAAAAAATATTTTAAAAAATTGCCTTTTTGACCAGAGAACACTCAGACCATTAACTGAATTGATGTGCATTTTGAGTTTTCGAGCGTTGTTTGTTGTAGTGCTGGCTGAGAGCTCACTGTCTGTGGAACACTTGATGTTGTGAAGTGATGAAAAACGCTGCTGTGAACTATGGAGGATTAGGAAGGGTTTTCAGCAGCAGCTTGGCCTGGCCAGGTGTTAGAAAGATCACTTTGGTAGCTGGTGTGAAGGATGCACTGGGGTTGGGGTGAGGGGGACTCAGTCTCTTGCCTGTCACATACTTTCATGTTCTGACCCCGACATTTCC